GTCACGTATGAGAGGAATGGAAGCAATGGCATACATCACCATTACTAGTGGATCTCCCTGAGTAGTACCCTCACGAGATAGCAATGTATCACTCCCAATAAACAGATTACTCTCCAATCTATACAAGTTTATCAAAATTCTAGCTAAAGATGGACACAGATGGAGTATATTTCGTAGTGCCAGACTTCTGTTTAATGAGTTAAAAGCATTTGAGGCATCAATCAACAGTAAACCTTCCACTTCATCCGATTCCATGATCTTACGAATGGTATGAGCAATCGCCTCACAAGAGGAACTGACTCCAGTACACAGCTGAGAACACCCGGTCACATCAATAGTACAGGGACTTTGGCCCAATTTTTGAGCAACTTAAAAATTCATTAAAAAATCCAATTTTGATTGGAATCAGCTCAAACTTGATACACAACATAAAAACATGTATATGCATCAGAAAAAATTATAAAAATGGAGAATTCTCTCCTAGTCAATTTTGACAAAATACCCTGTGCTATAGTGCATGATCTTTTGGCCCATTTTGAGCAACTTTAAGTCACTATGCCAAGGTCCTTGTTTTGATAATTATTTTCATTCTATAGGTTAAATCATTCAGTGATGAGGAAGATGGCTCTAAAGTGTTACTGTATTCAAACGGAACAAAGAAAGTTGTGTCTCCTAATGGACTCACTTCAACCATGTACTTCTTCAATGGAGACATCAAGAGAACTCAGGAAGATGGAGACGTGGTAAGCTAGTACTAATTACATGTACATGTAAACTAAATCTACTATCTACTATACCTTATAGTGTGTGGCACATGTAACTTTTTGAGCTAATATTTACATGATTTTTTGAGGCTTTTTCTTCATGATTCAGTGAAACAGAATATAGTTTCAATGACGTTCTTTTATTTTTTGGTTCATTGTAGATTTATTATTATTCAAGCAGTCAAACTACTCATACCACGAAACCTGACGGGACTGAAATAATCAAATTTAAAAAGTAGGGGAAAGGAAAACAGGGAGTACACCATCTCCTTTATAACATGACAAATAAACACTTCCTTCTCTTCTCTTCATTAGCGGACAGTCAGAGACCCATCATCGAAACGGCTCCAAGGACATAGTATTTCCTGATGGTACGATCAGGCATGTGCTTCCCTCTGGAGAAGAGAAGATTAAATTCTCTGACGGCGTCACACAGAGAGTTCTAACTAATGGAGACAAGATCATTGACTTCCCTGATGGGCAGAGAGAAACCCACACATCACTATACAAAGTATGGATTCATTTTCTCATGTATGCATGTGCATGTATGTAGGCTCAAATACATATAATTATGTTGTATGCTTTTGCTAAAGGACCTTTTAAAGTTGAAATCCTCTTTTTTCAATGATACAGAGAAGAGAGTATCCTGATGGGACTGTGAAGACAGTGTATCAAGATGGCCGTCAGGAAACCCAGTATGCTAATGGAAGGCTAAGGATTAAGGATCCAGATGGGAGAGTTATTTTAGACAGACTACCTACAGTGTCTCCTCCTGTAAAAGCCACTCCTCATTTGTTCTCTCAACCTTCTTGAAGCTATGATGTCCTTATGATGTCTGTGACCAGTGTTTTTACATGCATCAATTATGAACAGTCTGGTGTTTCATTTAACCTTCTTCATTTACTTTCCATCTCTACTCCTTTTGTGTATTTTTATATAACATATAATGTGATCATGACAATAATTTATTCTCAAAAATATCAGTGGAGTAGTAGACATATCTTTTGAACTACCATGGGATACATAATTTGTCCAGGCAAAAATTGCCCAGGTTACTATGCACTGTAAAATTTCAATTGGAGGTCAGTTTGGTGTTTTTTTACTGGGTTTTTGTTTGTATCTATAATACACCTGGAAGTATAGAGCCAAAACAATTTTGTGCTTCTATTGTGCAATATCTACTGTGTATAAGATTAATTTATGTTCATGTATGCACTGAAATAAAACATGAGAGTTAATTCATAGATAGATAATAGACTAAATGAACATAGATATTAGAGTAAAATAAATGGCTAATTCATATAGCCACGCCCTCCTATTGTGCAATAGATGAATCTTATTTAATTTGCATGGCCACACGCAATTAATTGATAACACCATATCATCGTCCCATTATTATAGAGGTCACCTCTTTTAGATAGCAAAGTTTGTGTACACAGGGTACTTTTTCACTGCTGCTTCTTCAAATAACAATGGGATCTCTGCATCAGTTCTGCACCTGCTTTCTACTTCTGAGTGCTGTGCTTATCTACAGTGTAAGATGTGATCCTTTGACTGGGCTGTATGATATCCATCATGGTGATGAAAACCTTAAAAGAGATGCTAGGCAAGGCGATTGCACTTTTCCAACTCCTGTTTCTCCTGAATGCAATGGTACTACAATTTTATCACGTATCAGGGAAATACTTTACAGTAACACTACACTCACTGAAGCAGAACTAGATGCCATCGACACTAGACTATCTACATTCTGTGTTCCAGAATGCATTGATCCACTGGTATCCTATTACAGTAGTTGCAGCTTTTTTTCTGATACTCGAGACTACATAATACCAAATTTACGACAAGGGACTTGTGGTAAAGTAGGGAACGACTATTGTCAAGTTCGCTATCTGCGTCGCTATGCCGGTGATTATAATTATACTCAAAGGCTCATCGCAAATTGTCCTACCAGCAGCTATTCAGAATCAACAACTGATGGTGAAATTGATTGTACAACAGTTAATGATACCTGTAGTCAAATGTTAGCACACTATAATGCTAACATGGAATGCTGTGCTTCGCCTAGCCCGATAGGAATTATTGCAACCAGATGTGGTCTGACCACTACAGAGCCATGTGCATCAATACTAGATTCCGGCAGTAATGCTATTTTCCTTGGTTTTTTCCCAATAATGCTTGCTGTACTTGGAGTTTTGGTTTTTTGAAGGTGGTCTCATCATCACGTAGACGTGCATGTACAGAACTTATTTGAACACTTGCAAATTAATGTAAAATATTGTAGCATAGTTTTAACTCTCAGGCTGTACACTATAACTAGCTATATATACTTTTTTCCACTAATAGAGATATAGTAGTACATTGTAGTAGTTTCTTATGCTATTGTTTCATATAATCTTAACTAATTATAACAATTGTACCATGGCAACAAAAAACTGAGAGTTTGGACAGTAATTGATGCATGCAGAAGTATGTGTGTAAAGTCCAGAATTAGTAATAAGTAAATTATAATAATAATTAAATCATAAACACTACACATGCGGTGTATCAGTAGTAACGTATTATCATGCTTGTGCAATCAGCACTATGCAGCAATACATATACTGCACTTTTCAGTCATTTAGGCTCATGCACATTATGCTCATGCACTAATGCTTAATTTATTTGATGCAGCCGTTGCTCATAAAATCTGATTATTCTAGTACATACATTATGCTTGATGCATGATCTAAATGTACAGCACAAGTGAATTGATAGCCACAAATTTCATTGATCTAGGCTAAATCTAAACAAGTGTAACAGGGTAAAAAATATTCCTATAATTGATTTCACCACCTTGCAAGTACAACTTGGTCATTATTAAGACTTAGAGAGGTTCTCTCTACCTTATAATGCTTCTAAAGAAGTCTTTAGACAGTATCTCTATGCTCTCTTGCTGTTAGAAAGCTCTTAACTTTGTTCCATGTGTAAGCCGCCATTTTGTTTGCCGTGACCACACCCACTCACGTAAAGGAGCGTGGGCGGGTAGTTGCTAAGGCTTGTTATTTCTCCAATACAACGTGTATAGAAGAAATGTAAGTGTGGACATCTGACCATAATTGACAAAAGGTACCTTATGGCTGATTTTAAAATTCATCATTATAATGAAAAATATTAACTTGTGAGTGCTCTGTTGGACATTTATTGTGTTTGAAAGTTTCATAGTAACTTTTTACATCCTCTGGAGTAATTTTATGAGAAATGGAGCTCAGGAAGTTCGATTTTTTGGCTATAAAGACCACTTTCACTACCCACCATAAGGTACCTTTTGTCAGTTATGGTCACAGTCGTTAAAAATGTAATGAATTCTAGTGGTGGGCGATATATTGATATTTTATCGATACAAACGATATTTTACGGTATCGATTCGTATTGGTATCGAAATTTTGAAGGAATCTGGATCGATACGTTGACTACGCCCATTTATTATGGTTAAATAATATTAATAATGAAAATTTTAAGTTAATGACGTATAATACACACACGTGGATACACGTGCATGAAAACATCGATGAAAACAGTCAATAATAAGGGGTGTGACTCCATAGGTGTGGTCTAAATATCGTATCAAAACTGTATCGATACTCTCAATATGAGCTGATATCGATCGGTATCGTATCGAATCCATTTTGGCCAGTATCGCCCACCACTAATGAATTCCGTCCCTTTCGAGTCCGTGCGCGTCCGTCCGTCCGTCCGCTTTTGAGACCCTACCCTCATTATAGTAATTGGAGTGGCCTTGATGCCGGATATTTTGTAGTGGTGGGCGATATATCAATATTTTATCGATACAAACGATATTTTACGGTATCGATTCGTATCGGTATCGAAATTTTGAAGGAATCTGGATCGATACATTGACCACGCCCATTTATTATGGTTAAATAATATTAATAATGAAAATTTTAATAAGTTAATGACGTATAATACACACACGTGAATACACGTGCATGAAAACATCGATGAAAACAGTCAATAATAAGGGGTGTGACTCCATAGGTGTGGTCTAGATATTGTATCAAAACTGTATCGATACTCTCGATATGAGCATAGATATTATAGACTACGTAACCGGGATTGGAAACAGATCACGTGATCCCATTCAAATCAATGTAACTATTCAGGTACACAGCCTACCCGCAACCGTCCAAAACCGGAAAGGATTTGTTTGCAAAGGATGTGGGCGTTGCTCTTAAAGATGGCTGCTAATGAGGGCAAACAAAACTAGCTCCCTTACTTTCTCCTACTGCTCGAATGGAAGATAGCACTACTTGTAGGACAAACTTACTATGTATTGTTACATTTAATGTGAGTATATTTTTTGTGATTTGATTGAAATTATCATATTTGCTTTGAAAAAGATGGCGTCTTTGAATGACCTAGTCAACTTGACTGCTTCTTATCTGCCCTAGAATGCTTTGGACACTTGTGTTCCTATTGAATATTGATAAGTAAGTTATTTTCATATTTTATGGTCATAAAATCCACTTCATTTGAATAAAAAGACAAAATTGTTTCAAAGTTAAACTTAATTTTATTTAATCATCATCCATAAAATCTGTAATTATTTCAGTTTCAATGTCACTATACGTGTCACAATCAGATTCAGATGTGGTGTCAGATGTGGAGCCCTCTTCAATGACAGTTGTTATAGTTG